TCAAGAGAAAAAGGTCGAGTTAAGTCTTCGTTGTCGGCCTGAGTAATTCTCTCCTCGCGAGACCATAGTTCTGCATCGATCTGGCAAAGGTTACCTGGAGCCGGCCCAAAAAGGGTTCTATAATACTCTGTGGCATGAGAGAGCAAGTTTTTGGTCCCTTCGATAACCACAGATCCGCACTCAAGGGATTTCATGGAGTTTTTCCTGCGACGCCCATTTGCAAATTTATGAAAGAAATCGGTGTTATTATCACCTTTTAGCAACCACCTTTCGTTAGAAAACTGGTGCCAATGAAGCTCTTCTTCTGTATACATGTTATTGAGCTCTACTAGGATCTCAAGCTTCCTAGTATGAGCATCTCCACACAGACCAATGATCTCTTCAATCTTTTCCAACTCTTGCAACTCCAGTCTGATAATATTTTTCCTAATCTTATTATGTCCAAACACATTGGACCCCCAGCCATTGAAAAACTTCTTGCACCTCTTCAGCTTAATGTTAAGAACATCTATGGGGTCGACCGAATATACTGGTCTTGACCAAATATCGGCCACCAAGGGGAGAAATTCAGGATTACTAAGCCAGGCATTGTCAAATTTAAAGCACCTATTACCTGGTGCTCTAGATGAGGCGACCCCACCATCCAATAAAAGGGGATTGTGGTCTGATAGTTCTTTCACCAGCTTACTCACCGAAGCGAGGGGAAATAAGTCTTCCCAATCAGGAGACATCAGCACTCTGTCCAATTTTTCAAGAGTTGGGTTTTCCTGTTTATTGGACCACGTATAACATCCCCCAGTCATGTGAATCTCCCTTAAACCAAGCAGATGGATAACAGAGTTAAACACATCTGAAAAATGAGACATGGGTGTTTTCTTGTTTTTCTCACCATTGTGGCGAATAATATTGAAGTCCCCCCCCACCAAATAGGGTTTATTAATACCATGACAGAAGGCAGATAATTCTGCTATGAATTCAGGCTTATGCTCATCATGAGCAGCACCATAAACTATAAGGAGAGACCAATCACAATTCTTGTTTTTATCAAACAAGTCCATTTGTAGGATATATTTGCCCTGTCTAGATCCCATGACATCAAATTTGTCTTTATTGAGGCCACAAAGAATACCCCCTGACTTTCCCCTCGAAGGAATCCATTCCCAATGGAATTTTGTATTCGGATCTATCTTCCTAAAAAAGGAATGATTATAGGATTTCTTCATAGTTTCTTGTAGCCCAATAAAATCCACCTCATTGGCACCAATCATATCTGTGAGACATGTAGACATGCCCTTCTTACCTGCCCCCCTACAATTCCAAAAGATACCTTTCATTTGTATCGTCCGGGTTTATTTTTTTCTCTGGGGGGTCTGCCAGGGTCCATAGCAGTCGTGCCCACTCCCACTTTCATTTGACTTCTAGTCATAGGTCTAGCAGATTTTATTGGAGATACGGTCACCCCCGATCGTCTGCGTTTTTCTCTTTTTTTTCTTTGTTTTGATTGAACCAGGATAAATGGCTCCTCCTCATCTATATGCTCATCATCCCAGGTTAAAGATAGAGGGATATCATTACCCAGACCATCATTAATAGTGATATTATCTTTTTTTTACATTATTGTTCTTATCATTAAGCAAATTTCTAGACTGTTCTAACTCACGAAGAACATCTATAGTAGAGAAATCATCATCAGGGATATTAACCCCCATAAGAGCAGCACGTAAAACAATGGCATTATCGGACAGAGCAGAAAATTGATTTTTAGAGCTGGGCATTTTCATACCTTCAGAGTCCCGTTTCTTCCTATTGATAGCCATTTCCTCCACTCTACCCAACTTTTGCAATTGCCTGCGTGGAGCTTTTTCTTCTTGGATCATAGGGTCATGGATGGGAGACCCTGATGGGGATTCAACAGTATAAGTGCTGCAATTCTCTCCTTCTTCTGTGGAGCCCTCTTCCAGGGGGACAATATGAGGTAAGGAGGGCCAAACCACATAGTCTGACAAGGAAGGAAAGATACCCCCATGAGTATTCTTATCATGACACAAGTATAATGGTGAGGGAGGGATAGGAGTAATGACCCCCCATGCACCTTTCAGACTGCTGTTTTCAGAAATGGGAGACCCACCCGTTTTCTCCACCTCCAGTACGTCGAGGTTTTCCTCATAGGATCCATTGCCAGACTAGGAACCACAGTTGATATTCACTCCATCTTCATGTTCTCTAGTCATAGTTTCAATCAGAAGTTCGGTGTGATTTCCCTCATCACTTTCCTCCTCTTCTTCACTTTCAGCAACAGCAGCAAGTCGCTATGTTCTTTTTTCATAGTTCTGGGAAGAGTAGTTACCAACCACATATGCACTAGTTTCTCCTTGCCCAACAGATGAGGAAGGATATTCTGTCCTTGCCTTCTTAGGAAAAGATGGGGATGCACTACTGTCAACAGCAATGGAGGATGGCCCCTTATCAGCCCCAACTGTCACAGATTTTTCCACTTCATAAAAGAAGTCATAATACTGCTCTCCCAGCATCCCTTCGGCTGAGGGTGGTATTTTCTTCACCTCCATGCATCCAAGCAAAATTCTAGCATATTCAGGTTTGTGAATTGTGGCCTCATCCACTTCCAATGTTATCCCCACCAACCCTCCAACATATGCAATATGTTCAGCACATCTTTTTTCAATGGGAATGTTATGAACCTTCACCCAAGCTTTTTCCATAATGCCTTTGGCCCCTATCGAAGCAGACCAAGGGGTTATGCATACCACAATCTCTCCCTCCTTCAGAGGCATACGCTTCCCATAGCAGCAAGCTCTCTCCACTTCGCTAGCGTTGGGAAAGCGCATGACAAACTGAGTAGGGCTAATGGAACGAGCTGTACAACGCCATTTTTTCTTTCCAGGTTTCCGGGCAAAGATGGCATTAAACTCTTGCTCTATCTCCTTAACTGACGCAAGCCCTTCCACAACAGTAATAATCACATTGTTCGTTTTCTCAACACCTTGCTTAGATGCACACATGTCAGGGATATAGAAAAAGCCTTGCCCCGGAGATTGAAACCCGCACATAGATGGAACACACTCCCAGGGCCTCAAAGTTTGACATAGTTGAGCCATGTGACCTAGCTTGTTGCATTTTTCGCACCGAATGGTAGGACAGCGAGGAGCGAAATGACCTGAGAGGTTACAGTTGATGCAGAGCTCGCCGGTGGTCGAAGTTGGTGCAGATGTTGGGGGTGGCGGCGCCGTCTTGGTCACCACCGTCTCCTTCATCCCGCTCATCGCGCGCGCAGCCGCCTCCCATCTGTCCCCGACCGCATCTCCTCCAGATCTCGACCCCCCGGGCGCCGTCGGCGGTGGATCTGGCCGCTGCCAAACCATGTTGCGGGTTTGATTCGGCAGCGGCGCCTTGCGCCCTCCGTTGAAGTCGCCGCGCGCCGTGTTGTCACGCCATCCTCCAAATCTCCCCCCTCCTCGATCTCCCATCGCCGCGCTCGGCGCGCCACCCGACCGCTCTGCCGCGACTTGAGCGAAGGAGCGACCGTCGCCGTCAACTTTGCCGCGCCACTAGCCGAAGGATTCGCGAGCGAGGTGGGTGGGAAGGCAAACCCTAGCTCTCCCCCACAGGTGCCCGAAAAGCGGAGCGAGGTGCGCGTCTCGTGCGCTTGTTGTGGTAGGTGGGGAAGGAGATATGGTTCCCCCCGCCTCACCAGCTCTAGAAATTTCCACGCCCTGGGCGTGGCTGGGGCCCTCCTGGCAGTCGGTAACCTCGTGCTGCCTCTCCGCCATTGGCGGGCGGTGGGTGGGTCTCGGATCCGCCCCATCACGATTCGGCCCGCCCGCCCGGGGAACCGCACCCCTCCCGTGAACCGCACCACGCACCGGACCGTGTGCCGCAGCCGTAGACGCTGGCCACGTCGCCGGCAACCGGTCCCTGATCTTCGCGAAGTGACATGGCAACGAGATGACGTCACCAATGTCAATATTCTCCCCCGCGCGCAGGAATCGCGCATCGACCGTGATCCCGCGCTCATCGATCAGAACGATCCGAAGAGCATCTCGCCGCAGCACCAGCACGCCGTCGTGGAACGAGAGGGTGCGCGTCTGGAGATCGGCGGCGAAGGAGACGCGCCATCGTACGTCGGGCATGGCGCCGAACTCGACAAGAGGGAGATGATCGGGCATCTACTTGTGGCTGCACCAGCACAAGCGAATTATTGGATGGAGAAGAGAACTGCACATGTACAGCTAGCAGAGAGTTAACTGAAGCTAGAAAACTCTACTGCACTGATCAACCTTGGAATTTCAAAGTCAACGCGAGCCAGGCGAACGAGAGGCCGGGAGAAGAAGACGGAACAGTCGAATAGGTGAATCCTAATATGTTTTTTATTGTACTATATAAAACAAAGAAATTAGCGAAGCCGAAATAAAAGGGTCAAAGCTACGCGCAGAACGTTTCGTGGTCAGCGCGCGGTGGCCGCCCTGGCCCGTCCGTCCGGCAACCGCGCGCGACCCGATCGACCTCACCTCCCTGCTCGATCTCCCTCTCTCCCGCGAGGAAATGGCCATCACCCCTTATTAATTCGCCATGCCCACCATTTCCTGATTTCTTTTCTCCTGCCACACCAACCAAATTGTTCATCGCCACACCTCCCATTTCATTTATTTTTTTCTTCCGACTGAAAGCAGCCAGCCTGCGTTTCAGATAAGACTACTGAGCAAATTGCATGGTCGTGTAGAAGAATCTACCCAACTAAGACTTCCAAGGTTTCATCTCTCACCGTCGACTTCTCAGTTCTCTCTCCTTCTAACTCTCGCCCTATAAATCCATCTCTCGTCCGTCTCCTTCGGCTTCAGAAGCTACCTCGCTCGGACGACCAGAGGCATCCTGTCTACTTGCTAGCTAGAACTTCTCCTAGCTTCATGCATGTGTACATAGCTAGATAGATAAACATATATACAGCGCGCGTTGCGTACACGGTGCGATACGACCAATAGGCAATGGAGGGGCTGCCGGCGCAGGTGGAGGTTCCATCGTACTTCCTGTGCCCGATCTCCATGGAGATCATGCGGGACCCTGTGACGCTCTCGTCCGGGATCACCTACGACCGGGAAAGCATCGAGCGCTGGGTGTTCACCGACGGCCACGGTGAGTGCCCGATGACCAAGCAGCAGCTCGGTGCCGCCGACCGGGAGCCCACGCCCAACCACACGCTCCGCCGGCTCATCCAGGGCTGGTGCGCGGTGCACGCGGTCGAGAGGTTCCCCACCCCGCGCGCTCCCATCGATGCCGCGCGCGTGGAAACCATCGTGGACGCGGCCAGGCGGGGGCAGGACCTGCTGGTGGCGTCCCTGAAGGAGCTCGCGGACATCGTCGCCGAGAGCGATTGCAACCGGCGCTGCGTCGAGAGCACACCGGGCGCCGTGGCGTTCCTCGTGTCCGTCGTCAAGAAGCACGCCGCAGACGAGACCCCCAAGCCTTTAGAATCCCAGGAGGATCATATGTTCGGCACCCTGGTCGGGTCGCCAAAGGCGAGCTCGCCGGAGGACGTAGCTTTAAGCATTCTATATTCACTTAGACTCTCCGAGGGAAGCTGGAAGAGAGTCTTGGAACGCGGCGACAATTTCTTGGATACCATGGCGTCCGTGCTGAGGCGGCCAAGCTACCTCTCACGCACGCACGGCATCCAGCTTCTCAAGGCGGCGGTTTCGGAGATGCCGCCATCGCAGCTGACCTCGGCAAGCGCCGAGCTGGTGGAGGGAGTGGTGTCGGTGGTGACAGACAAGCTTTCCGGGAAGGCAGTCAAGATCGCACTCCAGGTGCTCTGCCGGCTCTGCCTCTGGGGCCGGAACCGCGTCAAGGCCGTCGAGGCCGGCGCCGTCGGGGCACTCGTGGAGTTGCTCCTCGATGAGTGCTGTGGAGGAAGCAAGCGGGCGTCCGAGCTCGCGATCGTGGTAATGGACCATCTCTGTGGCTGCGCTGAAGGGCGTTTGGAGCTTGTGGCGCACCCGGCAGGTCTGGCGGTTATGGCGAGGGCTGTGACACGAGTGTCCGCCGCGGGGACGGAGAGCGCGGTGCGCGCCCTGCACGCGGTGGCGAGGCACTCGGCGACCCCAGCAGTGTTGCAGGAGATGCTGGCGGTCGGGGTGGTGGGGAGGCTGCTGTTCCTGGTGCAGACCGGCGCCGCCGGCGATCGGCCGAGGGAAAGGTCGAGGGAGATGCTCAAGATGCACGCCAGGGTGTGGAGAGGCTCGCCGTGCTTCACGCCAGAACTGAATGCATCCTACCCTTCTTGATATCACATGAAAGTATCTTCTTCGCCTTATCATGCAGTTGTCTTTTTAGGTTTCCTAATTTGGCCATTTTTGGGTGTGAAGATTGTATTGATTGTTACAACCGACCAGGAAGTTTGATGCTCTCTGAAACTGGGGAGAACATTTGCAAAAATGAGTATGTTCAAAACTGTACATTTTGAAGACAACATTTGGCGGGCATGATTCATTGTTCTTACCTAGGTTTTCTTTAGTGACCATGCTTGTTACTAAAACAATCAAACTGAGATATGATATCGATTTGAAACCAAATTATACTCGTACTTTAATCTTGTAATGCATAGTTGACGCCCGGGGAGCCAGATCGACGAATATAGAGGGAGGTTGAGCTTTCTTAATTCTTTTCGATCGGATCATAAGGTACTAGACGCATGTGAGAAGGCACACTTTAAAATCTGCAACAATGTTTCCCTGATCAAAATCTAAAGAATTTCCCCCCTTCCATATCACAATGTGGTTTTGGATTGACCACTAATATTTTTGATCGAAAGGGTTTCCTGACCACTAATATTTTTAACCACAATATATGCATATCACAAGAAAATATTATAGTATGAATATACTTTTTGAGTTAAATCTAAATATGTGGTTTACAAGTTCTTAATTTAAATATTTCAGACAATATTTATAGTCAAAGAATTATTATTTTACTTGAAGCATGTCCAAAAGGGCACATATTTTCTAATATGGAGGCGATTTAGATTGTATGAATTTCTAGAATTCCAAATTTTAATTAGGAATAACTTTTTGCATAAACCCTTTGAATTATATGCCCCATTTGCATAGGGATTTCAACATACGACCTGAATATCCAACGAACATCAGATTTTTAAGCATGGCAAATCGAACGTTTTTCATGACAAATTGTGTTTGCTGAGGGTGGCAAGTTTAGTTGGCAAGCATCGCAAATCAATCTTATTTCATTTTTTTGTTAGAAAATTGTCGTCCTCGCCAACTAAATTTGTCATCCTTGCGCCAACATAAATTGCCATGAAAAAATGTTCCATTTGGCATGCCTAAAAGTCTGACATTTCAG